TAAACAAATAAAGATGGAGATATTTTCTTTTAGACTTAGACTCTGATGATGATAAGGATGAAAGGGATGGTGATGAAGATATTCTTCTTAAATCAACAGGCCAGTGTTTGCCAGTAGGAGTTGTGGAGTAAGTGTTAATAAAATCAGATGATTCATTGTATTATTATTCAAACTATTTACCTTTATTGAAATAGCACAAATCAATATGAATAGCTGAAAAATATTAATAAATTATTATTATGTGGGTATAGATTAAATAAGACATCTCTTTATATTAAATTTAGTGTAAAATATGTGAATTTTCTCATGAAATTTGTTTTTAATAAGAATCCAATTTGTATATGTCTTTATAATGTATATATTAACTTTATAATAACTAATCAGGAACTTGTTACTGTGATATAATTGGTAAAGTTCGTACAACTTGTTTCAGTCTTTGAGTTAATCGATCACAGATATTGATTAAAATCTGTCTTCTTTCTAACAGGAATAATGCAGAAGGAAAACGAAAGAAACATCTTAAAGATCGTATGGGAACACTCAGAGAAAGAGAGGTTTTTATCCGATCTTCACCTCCTATATGGAGGATGGTCTATCTAATGTGGAGTGCTCCTATTACAAAATTTTGGACATTTCAGGTGTGTTATTTTGATGAAGTTGGTAATTTGAACTATTTGACTATATAGGAACGTCTGTAATTCAAAATGAACTAGTCTAAAAGTTACCCTCATTAACAAAATTGTCAATAGCAGTGCAGTCAGATAAATCTGTCCAGTTTAAGACTACAGTGGCAATAGATGAACAAAGTGATGAGGTTAGATATATCTTCTGTTTGGTTTAGGTCATGGTGATGATAGACAACCTTTTTGTTTTAGGTTATGGTGGCGAAAGGCAAAATAAATGGTAAAGTCAGATAGTTTCTCTTTGTCTTAGCTCATGGTTAACTGAATGCAACTTGGCCATGCATGGAGGTACAATATAGAAGACTTCTGCACAAGACAATTTTATTCTTAAAAGGGAAACGTAGTTCTTAGTGTATTCTTTGTTTTAAAGATACAATTCAGTTGTACTTGTGGATAATTTCTGTGAAGTATTTTCTTTATTTTTATGACTGTTTACCCATAAAATATAAGAAAAGGTTAAAAATTCTCTATCCCACTAGCATCAGCAAACACATCTTGCAGTGAAAGTGACCTACACACGTAGGAAATCATAACTTAGAAAACCAGTGCTCAATACAGAATGGGCTGTACCTGTGAAACGATGAACTCCAGCTCATAGTCTTCAATATATGACCTAATTTTAAGTGGTATAGTCATAACTTTTTAGTTTTAATTCATGGTGATGAACTTGGTGGTAGGATGATGTAATTTCTCTTCGGCTTAACTCATCATGATAAACTGGGTTCTTGGGCCAGATAACCTCTGTTAAGGTTAGTTTGTGGTGATGAACTCAGTCGTGGGGTCAGATGACTTCTGTTTGAATTATCTCATGATGGTACACTGGGTGGTAGGACCAGATAACTATTTTGCTTAGTTCATTATAATAAACCAAGTAGTAGGGTGAAATAACTTTTTTTTTTAGCTTAGCTCATCATGCTGAATTGGATTATAGGGCCAGACAACTATTGTTAAGGTTATTTCATGGTAGTTAACTAAGTGGTTGGGTCAGATAAAATATTTTTGGTTTAGCTCATCGTTATAAACTGGACGATATGGTCAGATATGAAATATAAAATAACCACTTTATTTTTTCTCCTCTAAAGTGAACAAATGACACTTTAGTTTGGTTACGCATCTCTTCCCATTGAAGTTGTTGATGATAAAATATTTCATGAGATTATTTGTCCAATATTATACTATTTGACAATAATACAACGTTTTATTTGTTCAGAAATGTTGCAAGAACTATTTATAATTTGATTAAAATGTATTTAATTACTATAAAACGTAAAATTGCCAACAGTCTAAAGAATTGTAGAAAGCAGCAGTAAATAAACTGGCAAGTTACCAATTCCCAAGAATTCTTGTTTTATAGATTGTCTATAAATTGTTTTGTAATGTTACGATACAGCCACAAAATATGCTAACAATAATTAAAAACAAAAGGATATGTCTGTTAAAGTCAATAACTAAGGCTGTTTGGTTGCTGTACCTCCCGAAATCACTCTGGTTTTCCTTTTTATATAAATTGTTGATGTGAAGTAAGCTCTGGCTGAGTTAAGTGCAGAGAATTGTACTTCTTAAGATAACTGCTATTGTCACAGAATGTTTAATTTCAAAGTGTACTTAATTTCAGATTTTCTACATGTTTTATCTGGGAATGTTCAGTTTGGCTGTGCTCTGGCCTTCTTGTGGGAATATCTATCTGGACTCGGCGGTTTGCATTTGGACAGCACTTATTGTTCTGGAAACCATTCGGAGAACCTACGTGCTTTATCGGGTAAGGATTAAACATGCAGATGGTGAATATTCACGTTTCAACCTACGGCTAAACTTTTTTGTTTTCCAACTGGTAAGGATTAATAGATTGCCACTGAATTTTCCATGGAAGTGAAACTGTTAAACAGTATAATGTACAACTTTTTTTTTTATATCCTCTTTTATTTATGTGTATTTTGTAAAATGGACTAGTTTGCTTTGCAAGTACTTCACTATTAAATGTTAGGTTTTATTTTATTGTCATAAGTGGAGATTATTTTGTTACGTATCATTTAACACATTTTATGTCCCACTTATCTTTAATAAAACCATTCAGTTGTCACCATTCTTAATTCTGATATTTTCACCAATTACTATGTTATATTTTTGTTTACCTTTTTTTTTAAAGGAAAATTTAAAGTATCTGTAATTTAATTAGTGTCTCGGGACCCATTGTTGTGTTTGGTGAGATTCCACCATATACATATTTGTTTTTATCTCTCATTTAAAAATTCTGCTAACTTAACTATTTCATAGATGATCAGGACATTTTCAAATAAAACATGTTTGCTAATGGAAGTTTGTGAAAAGTAGTCCTAAAGTGGGGACACTCACTGAACAAACTGGAAATATGTGACTCGTACTATTTATGTTTTGCAATGTGTGAAAATAAAATTCCGATGCCAGAAAATTCTAGATTGTTATATTTGTAGTCATTTTATGTTTAAAGTTATAAAATATCAAGTGTGGTAGGTTAATTTTATATATTTTATTCTTTCTTTTGTTAATATTATATTCAGCGTGTTAATCTAGTAAGTTCTTAAATAAAGGGAAATGGACTTTAATCATTTGTACGTAGGTTCTACGACTTTTATTTATATTCATTATTTGATGCATTTGAATCTCATAGTCATGTTTTCCTGATTTATTAACATTGCAAAAATAGTTTATTTTCATTCAGGATTTTATGGTTGAGCTATTGCAAATCTTGGTTTAGAATCAGTTTGGAGGTGGGGAATTACATGTTAATATTTTCTATCGATTTGTAAATTAAAAAAAAATCTTTTCTTTTTCTCGTAAGTTTGTAATTTTTGCTTTATTTAAATGCATTGGGAGTTTTTATCAATATTTATACGGGAATGTTTATGACAGTTTTTTACTCATTTGCATGCTCCTTCGTAGTGAATAGATAAAATGTAAATATATATAGAATTTGTTCCACGTCAACTTGTGAGAGAATGAATGAATAAAATCGTGTGTACTTCTTCTTGAATAAAATTAAACTTTAATTACTTACTTAGAATAGAGCTATTTCAAAAATGTTTAAGTGAAACGTTTCATATTAAAGCTATCAGTCCAATCCACATACCACATAAAATTCTCAGAATAAAAACTTTTTGACATTTTGAAATTATTACATCTTAACTCCTTATCAGCTATACAGTCTACATCACATGTAGAATTGAAAGAATCAATATATTAATTTACTTTGATTAGTTCAAAATGAGCCATAAACATACCAAAATTTTAGCTTTAAGATTTTTTATCACTGAATAATTTTTATAAGAGACAGACAGACAGACATTATTGTACATGTTATTGTAGTTTCTAACTAAATTCTTCCGCATGTCACCAACTACTGCTGCACAGCTTAGACTAAACTAAACTCTTTCCACCTAATATATGTAATTCCTTAAAATATCTATTGATATTACTTGAGTGTTTCTAACAGACAATTTTTTTTTCTTTTTCAGAAATTTAGCAGTGTACCACTTTTCTTTAAGGTCATTGAAATCCTGTTGATGATAACCTTTGTGTGTCTGTATAGTTTGGGACGTATATTTTATATTGGAAGTTTTCTAAGCCCCTATACGAGTAAAGTGCTTCTTTGTGTGGCACTTCTGTATTTTTACTATCGATTGATTGCCATTTACTTGCCAATATCACCAACACTGGGACCACTCCTGTACAGAGTTAAGTTAATGGTATGTATTACAGTACTAAGAAATATTTGTTGTAATCTGTCACTAGTTCAAAATCTATCAAGTAGCTCAAAAATACTGAAAATTTTGTATATTTTGTTTTCCTAGCTTATCTTGTATCTCTTAATCCTTCTATATTTTATGGTTAGTATACATCTACTAAGAAACTGTATTAAAATTTAAAAAAAATTTAATAAAGGTTTCTAAACTTTTGTTTTACCCCAAAAATCAGTTCATATTCTTAGCTATAGGTAATGAAACTTGTTAAGTATATTTTAGAAACAAAAATGTAAATTATACAATTACATGTAGGGTGATATGAAACTTAACATTTTTGTCAAGCTATTTTATTTGTGTTGCTTGCATACTTGCCTATTTTGATCTAATACATTTACTAATTTATTTATTTTTCATCTTCGTCACACTGTAAGTAAACAGTATACAATGACAAGAACAAAGATGTAAGAATTCCAGTGTAGATCAAAATTGGCAAGATTAAAATAACCTGAGAAGAGTTTAAAAAATTTAAGATGATTAACACATTGTCACATTTTTTCTCCAAAGTGGTATTTTTATTCCAAGAATGGTTTTACATAAGGACCTTATTTTAGGAGTTTGTTCAACCCGCACAACGTACAAAGTTTGACTCTATGTTACTGTAGGGCAACCCTTCCTGTTTAAGATTTGAGTAGGAGTCAAGTCAAAATTGTGGTACACTTTTGGGTTGACTGCATGTCACCGTACTGACTGCACATTTCATGTAAATGAACTTCCACACGCAGTATGACTGATAACTGTGAAAATCCAAATGATAAAACTGTGTATGCTGATTGTAATGGTGATAATGATAAAAAAAGCAGAAATTAAAACTGTGTGTATACACTATATATATATGTGTACATAATATGTTGTTATTGGATAAATTATCAAATTGTACATGATATATTCTATTGCAATCTTGTATGCCTGTGTAACTTATAACGTTTATTAGCCATTCTTAGGATAAGTAAAGAAAGGTATACTGATGTGTCTCTCATCATTTAAATTGTTTTGGTAAATTAAACTGAATGTTTCTATAAATTGTTTATTGGATATCTGCTAAAGCAATCTAAAACATATTAGGTTATAAATCTAGCCATAAATATTTGATTTAGCTACTTGATGATGTTTGTAAGGCATTGACATAGCAGCACTGTTATCTCGGCAGTAATTGTCTACATGAACTTTACAAGTCTGTATTGAAACATGTTATTTTTAGATGTACAGATTATTGTTGTCGCACACTGGAACATTTTAGCTCATATTTCAATGATTAAGTGGTAGACTGAATGACAACATAAGAAAACAACTATCATCATGAACATGGTGGTAAGGAAAACGGTGAACTTTAGAAGAAGAAAAAAAAACGTTTACTACAATTTGACATGACAACCCCCCCCCATAAACATGTTGTAGTAGGATTGCTCTAACAGGAAGTGAAGTCAGACTTTCTATGTTGTGTAGGTTGTTATCATTTCTGGCTGGGACTAGCTCCTGGACTATTTTGGGTATTTATAATATCAATACAGAATATGTATTTGAAAGTAAGAAAATATAACTTACTTTCTTCTAATTACTTTTAAAATAAAATCTTGAAACAATAAATGACTTAGCCTTAATATCTTTTAATAGTTATCTCAATATGATACAGAATTTTATATGCTCAATTAAAAATGTTTTTGATTACTAGCATGAAACAAGATCAAAGCATATAGTTTACTGTGACTGCTAAGTATTGCTATTAAACAAATTACCTGGCATGATACAGTTAGATAGAATGACTGTGTACTATCTTCCATTTTCAGTTTTATTTATATTAAATCAAATGTTTTCTTTAATATACACAGATTTTAAAGTTAGCTTTAAACTGAACGTGTATTTCTCGTTGGGATTACTAAAAAGTTATATATCACACAAGATATAGAACAGATTATTGGATTTTTTTTTATCATTTAAAAACAATTTTACTTTTTACTTTTTTGTATACTACAGGTGTCCTCTTTAGTTTAAACGTTAATGCAGAGTGTAGGATGAAATATCGGCTTTTTTGTGTTTATAGGTCGTTGTAGACTTTGTTAATTTCATGAGAATGACTCTACTTGTGATAATCAGTGGTGGGATTGTTATACATGCCGTCCTTTACCCAGACTACCCCCTCAATGCTGAACTTTTTCGACGAACTTTCCATCGTGCTTGGTTTTCCATGTATTTGACCCCAATTGATGATTTAGAAGGTATTTATGTATATATGTTGTTTACATTAATTGATTTTTAGAGTATATATTAAGAAGTTCAGTAATTTACATGTCAGCTTATATTGTGATAAATAGATACATTTTTTTTATCATATTTCATTATTGTAGCCTATACGACAGAATGGACAGGCAAAACTGTCCATTATTTCCTGTTGTCTGCCTAAAATTTTAGTTATAAACCTGATAGTGTAAACTGTTGGAAGTCTACTTTTTTTTTAATTATGCTTAGTTTTTGTTTAAATTCAGAGAAAATCACTTGTATTTTCGTTTACAGGTAAAGAACGATGTCACCAAGGTTATCAAAATGTATCTGAGTCGTGCTATGTTGGAAAGTGTAAGTGCGTGTTTCAGTTGTCTGCCCTGTGAAATAGTTTCAGCTAATTGTTTTGAGAAATACAGTTTTTAACTTTACAGTTTGAACTATTTGTTTTTTACACAGTAATGCGAACATTTTCCTACAATAACGCTGACAAAATAAATATTTGTATAACCTGGATCTCTTCAAAATATCTTTTGAGTGTTATTTATAAAAGGTATTGGGCAGTTCTAATTCATGTGATATATAAATTTTTAGGGTTTGGGGAAGCCAGTTATAATTTACAATTATAAATATTTTCCCAGATGTGTTAGTTGTAATATTGTATCTGAAAGAGCTTATTAGAATATATTTGAAATAAGTCTCTATTATTCTAGATTCCGATTTCACCTGTCCCACTACAGGAGCATGGCCGTACATATTTTCAATTCAGTATTTTGTGCTTCTAAAGTTGATATTGTTGACTTTACTCTATGCTCTCTTCAGGTACACTAGTTTTGCCATTTCGAAACAGATTTCATAACATTCTATATTGTAATATTTTTTACATTAATAGTTTGTGTTCATAATATTCTGTTTTGTAATGTTTTTCTTACATTAATAGTTTGTGTTTATAATATTCTGTTTTGTAATATTTTTCTTACATTAATAGTTTGTGTTTATAATATTCTATTTTGTAATATTTTTTACATTAATAGTTTGTGTTTATAATATTCTATTTTGTACTATTTTTTACGTTAATAGTTTGTGTTTATAATATTCTATTTGTAATATTTTTTACGTTAATAGTTTGTGTTTATAATATTCTATTTTGTAATATTTTTTACATTAATAGTTTGTGTTTATAATATTCTATTTTGTAATATGTTTTACATTAATAGTTTGTGTTTATAATATTCTATTTTGTAACAAAATAATGGGGAATTGATTGTTCTAACAAATCCCATTGTTTTTTGTTTTTATATTAATGAATATCTTTAAAATATGAACATTATTTTAGATGTATTAAGCAGTAAAACTAAGAGACCAAGGTAGTTTTATTACAATACCAGCTGTGTTTCTGTTTTTAGAAATTCAATAGTGCTAATTTTTACATATTGTTTTTTTAGTTTTAATTGTTTAAATCTTTGAATATTAAGAAAAAAATCATTTGGTAAACACATAATTTTGGAGGGTGAAATTATGAAGAATATTACTTCATGTAAAGAAGTAAAATATAAATAGTTGATATATTAAAAATTACGACTGTTTATATATTCTTAAGTCCAAAAGGTTTACTCTGAGGTTTGTATGTTTTCTAATTAATCTTAGTCTTTCAAGTATTGGAAAGTAAAAAAAAAATAAGCATAGTTTCTCATTTAATATGCTTACATCTTTATTATTTGACAGTTTTATATAATAATATTAGTCCCTAACTGGTTCTGTGTTTGATTTCTTTCAAAAGACTCTTAATCCCTTGTTGTCAGAGTAAGTGTTTGTATTTCAGTGCCACTGCATCAAAAATACAGAACGAGACTGAAGACATCTGGAAATTTCAACGTTATCAGCTAGTGGTAGATTTTGCTAACAGACTGCGATTACCTGCACCATTGAACATAATAAGTTACATATTAATTATATTTGAATGGACTTGGAGACTTATCTGTTGCAGACCTTGCAAGAACAACAGGAAACGTGATGAGGTGATTTCTTTTACTATTATTGTTTGAGTAATCATTATTATTCAGGTAAGGGGACTGTGTTTTCTAAAGAAAAATGTAGACATGAATTTTGCCAAGTCTCAGGCAAAACTAAAATCTGGAGGAGCATCTCGCCTTACACATTTTTCCTGATCTTAACAGAAATTGCTGTAAAAAAAGAAACAAACTCGAGCGTAAATTGAATCAAATGAGTGGAACTAATTCAAAACGTAATTTTTGTTACTTAAAATAACAAAGTATATCACTTAAGTTTTACACATATGCACCCCACCCCCATATGTATATATATGTGTATAGGTGCTCCTCAAGATTTTAAATTTTGCTGGGATTTGGCAGTTTATTCTAAGGGATTTAAACAGCAAAGAAAACGTTTTTAAAATTATGTATCGGTACAAATTATTACATCAGTATTCTGTATAAAATCATTGCATTGCATGATTCTAAATTAACATAATGTGTTCCAAGAAGGACCAATTCATGAAAGGATTGTTTATGTAGTTCTGTTATATAGTTCTTGAGTTGTATTACTTAACTGATAAAAAAATTCAATTTCCTTAATGTAGGATGGGGAGGCTGTTTTGATAAGTGATAAAATAGCTGTCGGACGTCTCACTGAGAAAGACTACAACTACTGGCGACAGCTAGCTCAGGAGTACAGTACTTCTGAGGAGGAAATAGCCAAAGAAGAAAACATGCAGAAAAAACAGATGGAACTGTAGGAATTGAATAATAATCTTGCTGAACCTCAATTTTAATTAAATTTACTAGTTAAAAATATAACAGAATGAAAAGAAATTAAATTGGAGAATAGTTTTTAAATCTTTTTAGTGCACTTTCGTATGCAGTGTAAAACTCTGTTCATGTTTCTTTAGTCTATAATCCCAGGGAAATCCATATTTATCAACGTAAAATAATTCATTGAATAATCGCAATGCAGCAAAAATGAATCTGTTCTATGTGTATGATTTTTTAGTTTTTAATGGTTAATATGTTTAAATCTTTGAATATTAAGAAAAAAATCATTTGGTAAACACATAATTTTGGAGGGTAAAATTATGAAGAATATCACTTCGTGTAAAGTAGTAAAATATAAATAGTTCATATATTAAAATTACGACAGTTTACATATTCTTAAATCCAAAAGGTTTACTTTGTGGTTTGTATGTTTTCTAATTAATCCCAGTACAAATTTGCTATTGTGTATTTCAATAATAATAATAATAATAAAACTTGTTAAAAATGTAGATTTTCTAACAAGTTTCAGACTACTAATATGTCAGCTATTCTTACTTACAGAAAGAAATAGCTTAAAAAATTAGTTCAGTTATGTTAATTTTTTTTTATTGCTGATTATTGTTGTGAGGTGACATAAATTACTCAAAATCTGATAATATATCGAGTATAAAGGCATTGAAATTCCAAAGAAAAAACCTTTGTAGGTTAACAACAATAGCAGAAGACGTTGAGTATGAGAAGAACATATTGCGGCAGGTCAAAGGCCGTGTGGGGGAGTTGGAGAGAATGCTTATGTTCTCACAGGTGTTCTTGGAAAGCATAAAACACATGAATCAGAGAGAAGAAGGTTTGTGTATTGGAGAAACTTTTTTAATTTCTTTTTTATATTTGTTAAAAAAGATATCATGTTTCTGCCATTTGTCTGTCTGCAGTTTTGTAAATATATTAACTCAGTTTTGGTACTAAAAAAAAGTTTTGTGAATATAGACTTGAATAAGCATATTTGGTTTATATTTTAATCTTCCAAGATGGTCAAGTTTGTAACACTACTGTACTTTTTATTATGAGGTTTACTTGATCTGTTAACAATGAATAATTGGGCAAATTACCATTGTGTGATAGATCATTATCAGTGTTGTAGTTTTACAGCAGTATAAGTCTTTGTGTGTGTGTGTGTTATATTGTGTAAGAGTATGTTACAATAAAATTTACATCTGACTGAAAAAGAGTTTATTACTCTTTACAAAATATTTTTGTTTGAAGAAAGAATTGTTCAAAAGAATAATGAACGATTTTCCAATCTAAACCTTTGAAACTGTTTAGAAAATAAACAGTTAAGTTTTATTGCTATCCTTATAAGCTATTAATACTATAGAATTTTAATTAGTAACTTTTTTGTTTTAATTACGTAAATTCTACAAAGATGAACCTGAAAAACATTGTTTTTCAAGCTTTACTTGAGATGAATACTTAAACTTCAGCATGCTTGTTATTTCAGCTCCTCCTTCCTGTCCTAAGAAAGGTAGGCAAGTCCAGAAAAGAGGAGTTATGTAGTTTTTAAGGCTTATTTATATATTAGGGGAAAATGTTTAATATAGCATGCAATACTTAAGGAGAAAATGATGCTTGTTTCAAAACCTGAATTCTGCATGTAAAAATAAATTAGATACTTCCTTCTTGATAAAGATTCACTTTAAATATGTGAAAAAATATAATCTAAATTATAATGGGCTGATCTAATTCATGCTGACGAGTAAACTTAAGTTACATCCCTGCGTTTTGCATGGACATAATTAGCATGAGTCAAAAGTGTTATTGGAACTGTACTGGTTTCACAATGCACAATGAAAGAAGTATTCTGTTACATTGTTAAAGCACAGTCTGTTTACTTAATATTCAGAACGTAGTCAGGGCTCTTTGCACTTCCTTGCACGTCAAACCCCTTATCCTGGGACCATAGTTCAACGGTTTCCCATCCCTGACAAATATGTGGCTTGGGAAGTAATGTGGATAGACTACGATCCAGTTGCATACAGCCGGCCTCGTTCAGAATTTCCAGTGTCACTGCAGCCTCATGTGGATGAAGACTTGCTACTGTAAGTGTAGGAATCTGTAATCAGTTTTATGAATATGTTAGGACTTAATCATCAGATTTGTGTCACACTTCATGAATTACACAATAAATGTTTAATATTTTTCTTATAATAACCTGAGGAAAATTGCTAGCATTTTCACTACAAAAAATACTAATAACTCTTCATAAATTAAATATTTTAACTTAAACAGGAGAATTTCATGCATTTTGTTTAATTATGAATAAAATGTCAACATGTATTGTTACATTTCTGTGCCTTTGGGTAAACAGCCAGGTCAGAGATCCCTAGGGTTAAGGTATACTTGTCTCTAATTTTGAACTCCTGGCCAGAGGGTAGACAACCAGCCAACAGCACCCAACACTACAAGGGTTTTGTCTTGCTCTTTTGAAGTGGGGGGAGTGTATTTTGAAACTAAAATTTTAAAACTTGATTCAACATAAAAAGGTTATAAAGTGGGAATAATTTTAGACAAATTTCTTAATGAAAAGCAGAATTATTGTAAACTTTATTAAACATAAGCCAACCATAGCTAGTTTCTGATACATAGATGTCAAGCACAAAGTGGTCAGGACAAACAACAACTCTTTTCTGGTCCTGTTTGAATGCATGAAGCCACTTTCTAGACAATTTCAGATTTGAAGGTTACGATTGACCACCTCTATTAGAACATCCAGGCACACAAAAGTCGTTTGAGGCATTTTTGAGCTATATTTATGAAACAAACAGAAAGCACGTTAACAAGGCGATTCAAAGAACTTGAAGGATATAAACATACAGGTTTCTGACTATAGACAAGGACTACATCGCTACTGGAATTCTCTTCTGGTATAATTAGCATGGCCCCTCATTGAATAAATACCATGTCTGGCATTAGTAACTTTACTACTCATTAAAAAAAAAAAGGATTCATTTTTCTCTGAAACACAGCAACTCCACATGGGAAAATCAATGTAACTTAACAACAAGAAAAAGTAACTGAAACATAGTTGGGTTTTTATAATCAGCTCAACACTAGTGCCAAACAAATATTTTAAAAACATTTTAGCTTAGTAGTGAAGTCTTATTTTAACTTATTTTCCTTCCAGACTCTGAATTTCTCTTACAGTCCAGTTTTTGTATTGTTTACATTCTTTGTAATTTCAGGTTAAGAGAAAAACAAGGAACTGTGCTACCAATGTTACAGTGGAACTCTTTGTCCACTAATCCTGCAGGCATCACTATCGATCGGCAGTCGTGGATTATTGAAGGGGATGGCATGCCCCTTGTTTACAAGCTGGACAGGGAGGGCGTTCCACGGTAAGTATGAAAGTTACACAGAAGTATCAGAAGGTTTGTTGGTATGAACGTTAATTCTGTCGGCATAAGGCTTTGGAGCTCAACTCTACTTGGAAAAATCCCACTGTGTGAACATCTGTTACAATTTCAAGTAAAATCTTTTAATAGTTACATGAACTATCTTCGAGTTGATTTATGACAACTTAATTGTTTGCATTTATTATATTGTTGAAATAAGGATAAATACAGTTTGTTTCAAAAATCTAAATTCATCTGTTGTACAAGTGTGAAAACGCCGATGATTATCATTTTATATGTCAATTTGCCAGATTTTTCAGCAAGATATGTTGTGCTTTATAAGTCATAATGCATGGCTTCTCTAAATTTGTTGATTATGAAAAGATGTGCAATTAGCTTAGTAAAAAGTTTATTGTAGGCATTGCGTAATACGTTAACGTTTCAGTTGAACATTTGGGTTGAAATCATTGTGATATTGATTATTTCTACCACCCAATACTTTTCTTACTAAGAAATCCACTTGGTCGAACTGGATTAAGAGGAAGAGGGGCTTTACCACGTTGGGGACCAAATCATTATGTTATTATTGTCATGACAAGGTATGTCAGATTGTTTTTGTAATTGCTTGTAAAATGTAATTGTTTCTGGTTAATAATATTTTATCATGCTAGATCTTCACTGTTAATATATCTGGCTTTCACATTAATATAATATTTTATCATGTCAATTTCTTGCTGTGATATAACAAGCTTCCATGTTAATATGTTATAATATCAGCTCTTTGTTATTGAGAGTATATTGTATGAGTGTGTAATATTATATAACTATTATAACCCATTATATACTTTTTAAGATTATTCAAGAACAAAATCTGTTTTTTGTTTGGGTTTAATTATCTATGGAATAATTACAGTTAATGAAGGATTTATGACCGTTAAACTGGTATTTTTGTTTATGGCAAAGATGGCAAAATAATAAGATCGTGACTCCTGTAGGAAAGGGACTGGAATTTGTTGTTCTCAGAACAACGGAGAAAAGAGACCAGATTTCTTTACCTGGAGTGAGTTTAATGTTTTATGCTAATGCTAAAAAAGAAAAAACTTGTTTATTGCTTTTAGGCTCCAGCTAAAGTTCTAATTTAAAGTCCTTATTCTATATCTATAAAACCTGTGAAGCAAAAGTCATAAAATATAAACATTCTGTTGTTTATAGCTATAAAAATCTAGAAAAAAAATACTGTTTACTTTGTTCCTAAAAAATTCATTTTTGAATACACAATTATGTTTTGTTAGATTCTTGTTTATAACATAGAATACTCTCAAAGTGACCATGAAAACAAAATACTTCTGCTTTAGGGATTTGTACCAGGAGATCAGAAGTATGAAGTCGTACGAGCTCTTTTCAAAGTTCAAGAAACGGGGACAAACAAGTGGAAAACTGAGGAGGACTTGGTTCAGGTGAGCTAAAAAGAAAAATTTATCATTGACTCTGCCTAACACTCTAAATAAATGGATTGAGACTCAGACTAGTTGTACCTTAAAATATAAAAATAACATTCCAGGCCTCCCAGTAAAACCTATAAAAAAATGTTATTTCCATTCTCATTTCCTATTACTTTTATTTTTGCTGAAAATAGACTAAAAAAAACTTTTAAAAATCTATAAAATATACACTTAACCCAAACTGTTGTTGCTAAATTTTTGATACTGTAGTCATGATATTACCATAATTATCCAATATAGATCCATTGAAATGTAACGATTTTGCACCATTTTTGATGTAGGGGAATAATTAAGACCTCATCATCAGCATTATTATAACTTTTTGATACTGTAGTCATGATATTACCATAATTATCCAATATAGATCCATTGAAATGTAACGATTTTGCACCATTTTTGATGTAGGGGAATAATTAAGACCTCATCATCAGCATTATTATAACTTGTGTAGCAAAATTTGTCACCACACAAAAATGGCCAATTTCTTCATAAAAATTTTACAGATGGGTATAGAAATTGACATTTGTTATTAACTCTATAATTTGGTTTGTGAATCCACAGTTTGCTGTGTATTTTTAGAAAAGAAAAAACCCATAAAAAACTATTTTTGAAATGGCTCATATGGAGGTTGAGCTTTGCTTTAAGACTTCTTGTAACAGTACCATTATGCTACTAATATATATATAGCTTTCCAATTAATATCATATTTTATCATGTTGGCTCCTTTCTGTTGATATAACTAGCTGTCTCATGTCACTTAGTTATTGGTGACTAACCACATCCACAGTAATATTTTGAATGTTGTTATTGTATCCCAAGACACTAGTTAAGAAAGAAAAAAAGTAGAATGGATATTGAGAGAAAGGACAAAATATAGGCCATAAAACAAGTTTGAAGGTTTCTTTGTGACAACACGTAAACAATTATTGGTGGCTGTTACTTACAGAATTTAACTAGGAACACTCTCCTTTTTTTTTTATCCTTTAACTACCCAGATGAGAGCATTATGTTCACATAATTTTTGCATTAGAATGCTCTATTATTATTATTATTATTATTATTACTATCATTTATACTTTTTGGCCCAACACCCTGTAATAATTAATTACAATTTAATTATTAAGTTATTTTCCTCACACATTAGGGATATGATAAAAACAATTAATTGACCACATAAATCTGTTTGGTAGCTCAGTAGTAAGTGAGTTAATTGATTAAAAGAAACTAAAACGCATCATCTCTCTACTGCGTATATCCTGTGAAAAGTTAATGATGAACTGGATATTATATTTTCCTTTGTACTTCATCCTTATGTAACTTTCTCTGCCATGCAGTTCATGAAAAACTGCAGTATTTCATCGGAGAATCTTGAAACGATGGAGGGTGATTCAAGTAGTCAACAGGATGTAAAGAGTGACATTATTCTCAAGGGATACATGGACGATCCCTGGAATACGGATCAAGCCTGGCGAGAAGTGGAACTCTGGCACGTCCATTACAGCGGTGTCGAAAATGTAGCTGATAAGTTACAGGTGTTGTGTTTAAATACTTTGGAAATTTTTATTTTCATGAAAGGTTCAGAGAAATAAAAGTTTAGATTTTTTTTTTTTTACATGATTTGATCTTTATGTGAGAACATGTACAAGTGAAATGTAAGTATTTTATAATAAATTTTTAATCAGACAAGCTTCTGGAAAATATTTTTCTACAGAAGTGATCAAGCAACTTTAATCAGTTTGCTTATTCATTTGTTCATTGTAACCATTTATTTTTAGGTTGAAAATTATAAATCATAGTTTTTGAGCAAAAGACTAATGTACTAAATTAATCTTAGAAAATGTTTATTTATCAATGATTGAAGTAATGCACAGACTCATCTGTTACAAGAAACCTTAGAAAAATTTCTTTAATTTCAGTAGTATCTAACATCAAAATTCATTATTTGTTAACGTGTTAATATATATATATATATATATATTTATTTATTTGTGTTTTAACCACTTGAAATTCACATCAAGATGGTTTTATATCATCTTCGTTCATAATAATTATGTACATCCTGTCACTCTTTTATTGTTGTTTCTCTTCCTTTTTTCAGCCTAGCCTTGGGTGGAGGATAATTACAGATGATGTCTTCATTAAGCTACCTGCTGGGCAGGCTGCACTTCTGCAGGAAGTCACCCATCGACTCCAACCTGTGATTCTGTGACTGCTCCAACGATCATTGTCGTTGGTGTGGTTTTATCATTAATTTTTAATTTGTATTTAAAAAGTACATTGATTTTTTTTTACTGTTTTTACTACAATGGGTATGAATGTAATTGAAAATTTTGTATTTGTGAATGTATTTTTAATTCATTTGTCTACAGTAGTTACATAACTGTCGATAAGAAAGAACATTTAAATTTTAGAAACATGTTCAATTAAAAAGTAGACTATTGTGTTTTGAAACATAATTAGATTTTTTTTATACATGGGGGGGGAGGATCTTTAATTTTTCTTTCTAAAATATGCACATTATATATATTTGGTTTTTACTGTATATTTTATTAGTTACAATACTCCTTTTATTTTGTAAAATATTTTCAATGGTATATTTTTTCTACCAAGTTTTTGCCTTGAATAATTTCTCAGTTGTGCAAATAAGTATCTGTATGTACCAAATAATATTTTACACGTGTGATATGTTCTTTAACACTGTTCCATCTGTGTTCCCTTAATCTATAGAATTTCAGTATTAAATGTCTGCATTTTGTGAGGGTGGCCCACTAGGTGAAAACGATTTTGGTGTTGTACTACATGTATTTGTATTAATTCATTTGTTCAGATAATTAAGGTTTATTCTTTAAAGATTAATAATGTATAATTTTTATTGTCAATGGTTACTTGGTGTTTAGAATAATGATAAAAAATTTTATTCTTGGACCCATTTATATTTACTGCTGTTAGGACAGTTCTTGTGATACATACTTTAACAAGATGGAATTGTTGAATTGCTACAAATTATCAGTTTCTAAAAGTGATGAATTTAAAGTTTGATTTGACTTTGGTATTACCAAGTGATACTTGCTTTTAATCATGTGATAGCAACAAATAGTTTATTTAAAGGTATTTTAAGAAATATTGTATTTTAAAATGTTTGGAAATGTAACAAAAAGTGGGATTTATTTTATTAGTATAAATATGGGGACTACATTAAATTACCAATTATTGAAATACACAAATAATAAATTGATATACACTCCATTATGATAACAATGTAAACAGCAGTACATCATAAGATGTGTAATCACAATTTGCATTTCAGCAGAGCCTAAGCACCCTTTTGACTAACAATATTACAATGCATTGAAGATTGGCAGTGTCAGAGTTCATTTTTTAAAAGTATACTGTTTCCATCAAAATTTAAAATGAATCACGTTATATTAAAATTCAGCACAGCACACCACCTTTCCCAGTATGAATAATTCTTTTATACTTTATTGTCTGAGCACTGAAGTAATGGAGCTTTGTTTATTATTAAGCCATAACCTTAAGCCAACTTTTGTTTTACCATTTTTTTTTTTGTATTCCTGAAACAGTTTTCTACCAGTCTAAATAATGTTGTCGTTCTCTTGGTTATGTTATATAGGAGGGATATCTATTTTACCCATGGACAAATTCATACCATTTAGTGATTACCAGAAGAAAAAAACATCAAAGTAAATGTTTAAATTTCTGTGTTTTTAGGAACTTGAAATTATATCAAAGAAAACAATTATTTTCGATAATATGCATCAGATTTCCTCTACTGTAGAGAATGATTAAAAGCTTAAAATATATTTATTTACCTATTGATGAATGCATGGTTTTATTCTTATGGCTATAGCTGCAGACTTTTGTACAAATATGTGTATTAAAGTTCTGAATTAGTCTTTCCTTTCATTGTTGAAATAAGTAATATTCAAGCAGTCTGTCTTGGAATTTTTTTAGTCAAGTATATGATGTTAGATGGAAAACATTACTGATAACAAATGTATCATCTTGTTTTTGTGCAAATTTTGGTAAAGCCAGAAGTAAGGAATGTAAAATTATAAGAAAGGGTAGTAAATAAACCCTGTTTTGTGATTCCCATAGCCTTAATTAAAGTTTAACTAAGCTACTATTAAAAAAAAACCTCAAAACATAGATAAAATTGTTAATACAACCCCAAAGTTACTGATATGATAAAGCATGTGAGCTGTGATTTTACATAACTGTTGAGTGAAGTTAGTTCATAATGAAATGTGGTGTGAGATTGTACATAACTGTTTAGTTGATTCATTCAGTTCATAATGAAGTGTGGTGTAAGACTGTACATAACTGTTCAGTGGATTCATTCAGTTCATAATGAAGTGTGGTGTAAGACTGTATATAACTGTTCAGTGAATTCATTCAGTTCATAATGAAGTGTGGTGTAAGACTGTACATAACTGTTCAGTGGATTCATTCAGTTTATAATGAAGTGTGGTGTATGACTGTACACAACCTTCAGTGAAGTTATGATTAAAATACCTTTTTCTCAAATTAGGTGATAAGAAGTGAGAGCTGTTTCCGTTTTATTTTCTTTAACACAAAAAAGTTGTTAGAAATGAAGTTGATTTAAATTCATTTTACATTTAAATAATTTAAACAGTAAGTGCCTTTATGAAGATAATTTTCGACTTCTTAAAATGTGTCCCATTTCAAAAAACTAGGTGGATATCTATAGAAGTAGAAGATTGAGCATCAGTAGCATTCTTTACTTTTTCATGTCATCAGTAGAAATAGTTTATTCAGTGAAGTTGGCCTAAAAATATACTATATATATAAATCAATAAATATAATGCTATTCAATACATTACTTGTCAATAGGCAATTAAGTCAGCACTATAAACCAATAATGAACTTGATACAAAATCAAAAAGTATTCTATTGGGAGTGTTACATTGTAGAATTTTAGGGTGGTTTAATTCTACTTTAAAGTTGTATTTAAAAATTAAGAGTAACTATTTTCCCACAACTGGAAAACTAGATCAAATAATGGTGCTAACTGGGAAAAAAACTGGAGAGAAATGCCACAAATGTGAGAGGACTGGCATTATTCTTCCATTACCGGTCCTCGTTATCATCTTTAAGCCATAAGGTATTATGTCTGTGGTGATAATACCCAATCATGTTGGGGGATATTCCATCTATCAGACAAGATCCAGATACTGATGTCAAATTAGCCATCAACTGAGGAGAATCAGTTAAAAGTTAGGAGTTAAGTGCTTGAACCCACAACGTCCCAGCTCTTGCCTTTTGCTGTCTGCAGAAGATAATTTGGAGCTCCTTTTCTGTCAAATTCTCCCTCCATCACCACTTTCTCTATACTGTCCCAACTTCCTATGATTAATTGTGTTCAATAGGCTTTTTGGGTTTCCCACTTGCTCCAGCACCTATACATTGGGCTTTCTTTCCTTCCACGAAACTTATAGCAGGTGTTTCTAGTACCATACAATTCAAGTGCATTAATTTTCTTTTTATTTGCTGGATTTAGTGACCATGACTTGATTCCACATGATGCTCTTGAGAACATTATACAGTTCATTAAACATACTTTCATGTGTTTTGAGATGCCACAATCTTTCCATATGGTGCTAAGTGACCCACGCACTGAACTTGCCATCCCCAGTTTTCTCTATTTCTTTGCTGCTTCTACCGTGGTTATTACAGAGGATCCGAGAAAGTTAAATTCTTCTTCTACATCTATGGAATCACCATCTTACATAATGTTTGGTTTTTGGTTGTTTCCAGATGTATCCCTACTTCCTCACTTGCCACTCTCATTCTTTTGATTATACTAATCCATACTGTTTAAATAACGCATACTTAAGTTTTACTTTTTAGTGTAGTGCATAACCGTGCCTGAGGAGTACTTGCAGTATTTTTGGAATGGTTAAAAATGACAAGTTGACAGCAAAAAGGCTAAGCTTTTTTTCATATAAAACTATTATTGAAATCCAATAAGTACTGGAATTTCAATTAAATTTTTGTGAAAAGCAGAAATTGACCTTGTTACTGATACAATTATGTAACTAATTAAGAGTTCCCCCAAAATGCTTTAGTTTTAAAACTAGTGTAGTGCGATATTAAAATTAATAATATGACATATAGAAAACTTTCAATTTTTACAGTCATTGTATAGCTTAGTGCTTAACAGCAAACAAACAAAGATTTTTCTACCAGATTTCTCATTGAGATAGCTTCATAAATGAATAAGATGCTTAAACATTATTTCAAGTACTTGCTCCAGTAGGAGTATTCACCATCTTAAGTACGTTTTGTACAGATTGAGTTCAACCAGTAGGCTTCTGAATTGCTTTTTTGCATAGCACACTAAAATGAATTATGATATACTGAGCAACTGAATTATTTTAATATGGTACAATTGATCTTTATGTGCATGGTTTTGTAATACTTACTTTAATGGTAATCATTTCTTAAATGGTATAGGCCAGTACAGTTGGAGACTGTAGATACTATTAAAAATTGTCAAATGAAACTCTGCTGCCATTATTGTATTGTTGGCACAAGAAAACCTCCTGTTGGCAGTCGTAGGCCACCCTACACAGAGTGTGTTGATTTTAAGATAAAAAAACAGTGGATGTTAAGATTAAACTTATAAATATTAATGTAATATCTTCCTAAATGACACACTCATGTGAAAAGCTCTTAATTTTATATTATTTAAATTTAGAAAAGAAACATTGCATGACTTGGAATTTTTTTGCATTGCACCCATTAGAAAAATACACATTATAAATTTTGTACTTGGTAGTTATCGTGTATTCGATAAAGGAATATTTTTTAAACTAGTATTCCTTAGTTTGATATAAATTTCAGGAATACATAACTTGCTGGGAGTTGTGATGGTTCATTGTAATAATCTCATTTTATATATATATATATATATATATATATATACATATTCACAAT